CAACCACAAAAGATGTCTTACAAATTCAAGCCGCTCACAGAGTCGACGTCTGCTCATTACCGCTCGCGCCTCCATCTGCTTTAGTGCTCTTCAGCGTGCCGTCTCCAATCTCGAAACTAAAGATTTCCCAGAACATCTTGTCCCGCGCTGTTCTCTGGCCATTCGTTAGGTCTTCAATCAGGCACTGCACCCTCCCATCCTGGAAAGTATCCTTTGCCGGGTTGGTCTGCTGCTGCTCCTCTTACTTCGCAATGTCCATCGCTCTGCGCTCCAGAAGTAGCCAACAGAAAGCCAGTGGCAACCAAGAAAGCTGAAGCGTTGCCCATCTTCCATTTTCCGAGCACCATCCGACATCCCCAAAGGCAAGCAGCAAGCACCTGGCCGACCATGGCTCTTCTTCTCGAGGCTCAAAACAGAGTTGACCGTGGAAGTGAAGCACACCTCAAATGTTATTGTAATCTCTGATGTCATTCTCTTCCAGCTCTGGGACATCCTCTTCCTCCAAATCAACAGCCTCTTCCAGTAGAAGTGGTCCTGCAACACAGGCTGTTTGCTAATGAAGCTTGGAACTCAACATGAAAGGCTTGAGACTGTCCAGGGTCATCTGGCTCAGGAATCGGAGGAACATGACCGCATTGGCGACGGTAAATCAGGCCTGGCACAACCAAATTGCTCTGCGGCAAGACAGCGTCTAGCATCAGTACATACTGGAAGAAAAATGGGTATGATCCACGGTCAATTTATGGTCTCCACAAAAGGGCATACCATATATAAACTCACCAGTCCCTGAAGAACCCTATCATGAAATCCTACCTCACATCGGGCCTTGCCGCGTGCTGTCCAGATGCTCCTAGCTTCCAATCTCATGTGCACTGTCGCTAGCGCACCGCTAACAAGACCACACGCTGATCCCAATCCGCATTCCAAAACTTGCACGCACTTGTACTTTAGTTTCGTTCAACGTTCAGCCACAGCTGGAGCCAAGATTCTTCGAGAATGTCGCAGAGCCCATCCACCGTGAAGTCCCAGGGGACTTGAATAAATCCAGCAAGATGGGCCTGCGTCAGCCGCAAGCTTGTGAACATCCACCCTCTATTTCCTTCACTTCGGTCGGTTGGTGCAGCAAAGCACGGATCCTTGTATCCAGATTCAGCAATGACCAGGGGAACTGGAGGTGGCTTGTCTCGCATGGCCTTCCTGACAAAACATAATGCCGAGTTCCAGCATGCACGATCAAGAAGTCAGGCAACGAATTACCAGCGGCACCCAAGTCGGCATGCCCAAACGCGCGCATGCAGGGCAACAGCAACCCTGGCAGCCGCACCAGAGATTCTCCAAAAGCCAGAAGTCAGCGTCGCTGGCCAAGTTCATGCCGCAAACTCGGCGGATCGCCTTCACGACAACAGGCTCGAAAGAAGCTAGCTCTCGCATCCCAGAGCGCACAACGACCCGTGGCAGTGCCGGTGAATCTCTGCAACATGTGAGCGACAACTTTTATTTATGGTCGGGGCTAATTGACCCTATTTCTTATCCGCGGTCCCTTATCTCGTTCCCCTTAGAACGGAGGTGATTTCCTTGATGTCTTGAAATGCTGTGATCTCGTTCGGAATGGTGGAACATAAGCAT